GTTTCTCCGACAAACCCCTCAAATCAGATCACTTTTATTAATCCGCTTTTTGCTGACAATAAAATGAAATATACAGAGCATGATTCTGCTCCTTTCGTCGTTCATGTTAGCAAGATAATATCAGATCCCAGCTCTGGTTCTGTTTTTAGACCTATTAAATTTGGACATTTTTTATATATCAACAAAATTAAAAATATAGTGAAGGATGGTGTCAAACGTATTGGTAGAAACAGAATTTCCGTGGAATTTAAATCTTTTAATGATGCCAATGCTTTCCTTGATCATACTTCACTTACTCCCGCCAAGTATCAAGCTATCATCCCCCGTTATAGTATTACTAGAATGGGCATAGTACGTCAAGTTCCTGTAGATTGGACCCTAGAAGAACTAGTCAAGGCCCTGGAAATTCCCACAGGATTTGGTCAAATTATAAAGGCAAGACGACTCTGTAGGAAATCATTTATAAACAATTCGCCAGAATGGATTCCCACCCAAACTATAGTATTAACTTTTTCTGGACAAAAACTTCCTTCACATATCTACTGCTTTTATACCTCACTTCCAGTAGAGACATATGTTCTTCCTACAATCCAATGCAACAAATGCTGTAGGTTCGGCCATATCCAATCACATTGCAGGTCTCAGGCACGCTGTTTCATCTGTGCACAATCTCACGAAGGATTTTCGTGTAAAAAAGATATTCCTACTTGTTTATTTTGCTCCGGCCAACATAAAGCGACTGATCCCTCTTGCCCTGAGCAATCTCGTCAAAAACAAATTAAATTAGTTATGTCACAAGAAAATGTATCATATTCTGAAGCATCATCAAGATTTGCGCAGGTCAGGAGGTCTTTTGCTGACTCAACTAGATATGAATTAAACAGTCGTGTTACTTCTCCCTCCACTCCCTATCTATCTCCTCTCTCGTCCCCCAGACCCCAACCTATAACTTCTTATCGTAAAAGTGTTTCTCTCCCTAAACACCATCCCATTCCTGCATCAAGTCCAGGTTATAATCATCAGACTCATAGAAATATCACTGAGACCCCTAAATCCCAGCTTTCTAATGGTTGTGCATTCCCAAATGATCCTCCTGTTCCCAATGATAACCTATTATCTCTTCTCCTATCAACAATTATCAATCTCCTCGGCCGTTTTAGTGATATCGGCTTACCGAACAACGTCAAAGATCAACTGTCTCAGCTTCTTTTACTTTCGTGTTCCAATGGCTCCAATACTTCAATGGAACTGCCGCAGCAGTAGAAATAAAATTAATGAAATTCTGTACCTCATTAATATTTACTCACCTGTCATCTTTGCTGTCCAGGAAACTAGACTTAAGCCTGGTGCAAAACTCCGCATTCCAGGTTTTGCTTGTTTCCGGGATGACAGAAATGATGGATATGGAGGCACTGCCTTACTAGTTTCAAGATCTGTCACATTTTCTCTTATTCCACTTCCATCGCATAGTGAACACATTAATGTAGTGGCATTAAAAGCTTTAGATGTTGTTTACCTTTCAGTTTATATCCCATATCCAAATCTTGAATACCTAGCTGAATTATCAAATATCGTCTCTACACTTACCCATCCCTTAGTTATTTTGGGTGACTTTAACATTCATCACACATCATGGGGCTCATATTACTGTGACCGTTTATCTTCTCATTTTTTGGACATTTGCGATAAATTTGACCTTTGTGTATTAAATGATGGATCACCTACACGTAGGGTATCGCCAATACAAAATATTGCTAGTGCTGTTGATTTGTCTCTATGCTCCCCATCCTTAGCTTCCCTTCTTACTTGGACCATACTTCCTTCTACCCATGGAAGTGATCACTTCCCAATAGTAATTTTATTTCCCAATTCTCGAAACGAACGGCCAAACACTCTGACTATCCCTCGTACCCATCTTAAATATAATTTGGCAAAAGCAGATTGGACAGTATACAAAAGTAATTTAGAATTAGAAACACAAAATTTGCCCCCAATTAACGATAATAACTATCTCTCTTCCTATAATGACTTTAAAAGTTGTATTTTGGCAGCTGCAGATAAATCTATCCCTACCAAAAATAGTTTTAAAGGTAAACCCCGGTCTCCTCCCTGGTGGGATTCTGATTGTACTAGGGTCTGCAAAGAGAGAAAGATGTACGAAAAAATATATGCAAAATCCATGACAGAGTATAATTACATAAAATATCGATCAGTTGCTGCAAAAGCAGTGAAAACCCTTTTAGAAAAAAAAAGAATTGGCTGGCAGAGGTTCTGTGAATCCCTCTCTCCCAGAACACCTCCATCTTTGGTGTGGAAGAATGTTAAAAAATTCCGTTGTGCTATGGTTGACACTAGCAATTTCACTACAAATGATACTTCACAGTGGCTTGACTCATTTCAATGTAAATTAGCACCTCCATCAGTTCCATCAAGTAGTGAAGTTATTTATTCTATCATCTCATTACCGTCTCTGTTAACTGAATTCGATGAGCCATTTTCTCTTAACGAACTCTCAGCTGTATTAGATGGCTTAAAAGACTCTTCGCCCGGTATTGATGGAATCCCTTACTCTCTTATCGTAAATAGTAATATTCCAACTAGGGAGCTTCTCCTTAATATACTTAATAAAATTTTTTTATCAGGCATCCCTCCAGATGAATGGAAAATGCAAATTATTATTCCCATACTGAAACCTGGTAAACTTGGCAATGATCCAAATGGATATAGACCTATCGCCCTTTCATGTACAATGGTCAAAATACTTGAACACCTAATCAAAAATCGACTTGAGTGGTTTGTCGAAAGTAGGGATCTTCTTGCTAAAAGTCAGTTTGGTTTCAGGAAAGGTATGAGTACGATGGATAGTCTGAGCATTTTCACCACTGATATTTGGATCGGTCTATCGAAACGGGAAAACATTGTAGGAGTTTTCTTAGACGTTTCGTCTGCTTATGACAATGTTTTGCTTCCTATTCTCAGGCAAAAATTGTTCAAGCTAAGTATCCCCTTGAGACTTATAAACATAATATTTAACCTCTTGACCGCACGATGTATCCAAGTTTGTGTGAGAGACTCTCTATTACCACCCCGAACTATTTGGAAAGGACTTCCGCAAGGTTCAGTTTTAAGCCCCATACTCTACAGCTTGTACACATATGATCTTGAGCTAGCTTTAAACTCTTTCTGTAATGTCCTACAATATGCCGATGACTTATGTTTATATATTTCAGACTCAAATATTGATACCTTATCGACTCGCCTAAATACGGCTATATCGTATCTACATGACTGGTTAACTAATCATGGTCTATCATTATCGGTTGATAAAAGTAATATTGTTATATTTACACGTTCTAGGAATACCCCTCATGTCCAAATAAAATATCTAAACCGACTCATCCCTTTGAAAAATCAGGTGAAATTTCTTGGAGTTGTCCTAGACTCTAAAATGACAGGATTCCACCACATCGCTCATATAATCAAAAAATGTGAAAAAAATTTAAATATCATACGATCACTGTCAGGCGTTTGGTGGGGAGCCCATCCTTTTTGTCAAAAGCTATTGTACAATGCTTTAATTCGAAGCCATTTAGACTATGCCTCATTTCTTTTGGAACCTTGTTTGAAGTCATCTCTAAAAGCGCTTGATAAGATTCAGTACAAGTGTCTCCGTATTATTTTGGGAGCTAAAAAATCTTCTCCTATCAACGCTATGCAAGTGGAATGTTCTGAATCCCCATTAGAAATCCGAAGACAATACCTATCAGATAGATACTTTTTCAAAATTATTCAGAAATCGAATCACCTCCTTATTAACAAATTACATTTACTTTCAGAATTTATATCTCATGACATGTTCTGGAAACATAAAACCATACCTTATCTATTTCGTAGCTTCCTTTGCTATATCAGACTCCCCTCCCCAGTATTCCAATGTTCGATTCTCCCATTATTTAATAATTCATTCAACTCTCTCATATTTCGTCCTAACATCTTGTTAGATGTAGGCATTTTCAAAGATTCCCCAAATGCGGAAGATCTGCTACAAGATTTGATCATTAAAAATTGGAGCGATTGGCTCGTGGTTTATACTGATGCTTCAAAACTCTCTGATGGAGAATATGTAGGTTCTGCTGTATGGATCCCCAAATTCAAAATAATTCTCAGTTTCAAATGTCCTTCTGACTCATCTGTTTTCACGGGAGAGGCTATCGCTATTCTTGAGGCGATTATGTATATTGAGTCGCATAATCTGGATAAGACAATAATTTTCACAGACTCTAAAAGTTGCCTTCAGACTATTTTAGCAAATCCTTTTCGCAGTAAATGCAACTACCCTTATGTTCTAAAAATAAGAGACGTCCTATATAAATGCCATATTAAAAAAATAAGAGTCCTCATAGCCTGGATTCCTGGCCACTCCGGTGTGGGGGGTAATGAGACAGTTGACTTAATTGCAAAAGAAGCAGCTAACATTGGTATCCCGTCCCATTACGAAGTATTCTCCTACGATCTAATTTCCTTGGCAGTTAAACGGAGTTTATGTTCATGGAATGCTCAATGGAAATCATCAAGTAAAAATGTAGGAAAATATTACGCCGATATTCAAGACACCATCCCTCCTAAACCGTGGTTTTTTAAGTTTAAAAATATATCTAAGGCATGTACATCCACCATATGTCGTCTACGGTTAGGGCACGCAAACACTCCCGCTTTCTTAGCAAAAATTAGGATCAAAGACAGCTCTATTTGTGAATGCGGGCTGGACGTAGGAACAGTCGATCATATTTTTTTCAATTGCCCTAAATACCCTTCTTCCTTGTATGATGACATTCCCTCATTTATTCCCAAACCCACAAATTTTAAATCCGTCTTAAGATATCTTAACTCTCCTTTTATAATCGTCTTATGTAATTATATTAAGAGTAATAACATTCGTCTATAATCTAAATACAACAAAATTCTAAATTTAACTTGAGATTTCACTTCTGTATTACAAAAAGCAGAGTTTATAAAATATCTAAATATGAATTAATCTGAGCGAAACACTGGACTCTGGCGAAATCCATAAGGGCATCGCCATTAATTAAAAAGAAGAAGAAGAAGATTTGGATGTAAAACAGTAATTTTTTACTCAAAATAAGGTCTTTTTACTGCAGTAAAATAAATAGAAAATGTTGCGCAGCTTAACAGCTTCAATTGTGCAATGCCGTGGTATTAAACATCAAGTACAAATAAAGTGGGTTAGACCCGATTATGTGCCGTCATATAAACCAGAAAAGTCTGGTGATTTAGAAAATATACCTAAGATAACAGACGATACTTTAGGACAAGATTATGCATTGAGTGAGGAGATTAAGGAGTAAGTTTTATTTCAAAGAAATAACATAACCTAAAAAAATTCGAGCTATTGCCGATTTGTAAATTTTGCAGTGCCCCAGAATCAGTGAAGAAGATATTCTCTGTTTCCCATCTCGGATTTCAAGCATTTAAAGCATTGGCGAAGAAAGAGTTGACTGAAAGAGTAAGGCGACATCAATACGATGAGGACACAACTGAATACACAAGTAAACTTTATAACTTGTATGAATGTACATGACCTCCGAGGCCCTATTCTATTTGTCCTCAAACGAAAATTAAAAAAATTTACAATTTGTGTTAGATCCTACCTCTGTTACATTATGCATTATCAAAAAATGTGTTTTTTTGGAGTCATATTATCATTTCGAAAATTGATGAAATTTCGTTTTCAGAGAAGAATGCTGAAGGCCGACAGGTGTCATGTTAATACGGGTGTAGATACACATTTTCAAATTTTTTTTTTAGATTTATTTTATCTAAAGCTTTAAAATAAAAATATAAAAAAGTTGTCTATACCCCTATTCATGTGTAGTAGTTACATATTCATATAACATCTTTTTCATGTGTAACTTTGCTATGCTACTCTATAAAAAAGATGATTTCTGATTTATAATTAAGTCTAATGATAAAAACCTTTTTTTTTTGTATAATCAGTCTTTTACACTAAATTGTCATAACAATGGTATATGATGATTATAAAAAAGTATAATTTTATTTTCAGTTGCAAGGCTTACTGCTCATATAAGATGCCTTCAACATACCATGGAGAAATACCCTAAAAATATAAAAGCAAAGGTAATTCATTGAAATAACATTTGTTACAATTAATTATGATTGTACTCATTTTTATATTTTTACAGCAAACATGCCAAGAGTTAATTGATAAACGTAAAAAACATTTAAAATTTCTAAGACAATATGATTATAAGAAATTTGAATGGCTTTTGGAGAAACTGAACATCGAATACAAAGGACATCCAGAGTAAGTCTCCTTGTTGAAGTATAAAATGTTTATTAAACTAATAAGCCACATTCACACTTGCCACTTGCCATTAAATCCACATGTGTTTGTGGAATATATCTTTGTTTTGTGATAAAAATTGTCAGTCAATTGGATTGGTGACAAGTGCCAACATACCAAATCCAACACTATCCATACATTTTAAATTGGGATGGTTTAGAAGAGTATAACATTATCATTGTAATTTTCTAGGACTTACAACAAATTATCTAGAAAAGAATCATTGAGAAAACTCACAGAATTACATTGCGATGAAATTCGCAATAAAAAATTACATGACTACAGGAATTTATTGGAAAGTCAACAAGGTCCATTCTTGAAAGAAAAACTTGAAGCGTTGAAGTTTATAAAAAGTGAACAGATGGAATTAAAATTGCCCATCACTGTAACAGATCAAGATATAAAGAAAGTAGAAATACAATTAGAGGAATGGAAAGTGAAAGATGAAATCAAACAGCAAGCTAAAAAGAAGAAGAGACATATTTTATTAGAGGAATCAGAATAGATTTTCTATTTGTGTGTAAATAAAATATTATTAGCTATATTGGAGTTTATATTTTTTATTTGTGTAAATGAAGATGGTACAATATTAACACAAACATTTATTTTAGTAATTACATGTCTTAAATCTACTTATCCTTTTAAAACCAAATTATAAAAATGCATAATCAGTCAAATTTGGACGGATAATTTACAATTATCTTAAACTATTAACAATTTGAAAATATTATTGAACATTTTTTTTTAAATCAATTCGCTCAAGTCACAGTAGTGCTTGGCAAACTAGTAGTTTTTAAAAATGGAAGACAATTATAATTTATATTACCATAGTAATTACACATGGTAATTTTTATGGAATGCATCTAATATAATAGAAAAAAATATCTAATTAGGCAAGGTTTTGGACATAACATTCACAAATCCATATAAAAAAATTTGAACATTGATGGATTAACAAGTTGACTTACCACACAGGAACAATATAATTTTGTTATATATAACAATAAATAAACTCATATTTTGTTTTTATTGTTTTAAGGTTAAAGGTCAAAATCGATTATGGAAATTTCATATTCTTTAGTAAATGTCGCAGCTGCATCAGCAGTTGTTAATACTCACACGTTCACGACACGTTCGAGTGTTAGTCTCAGTGCCTAAGGGGCAAAAATTTCGAAGCGCGATAAATGTAAGCCAATCGGACTGAGTGAGAGTGAGACTGACGCCAAATTCATTGTATTTTAAACATTATCGTTATTGGAACAAGACCCACTCAAATTTTACTCATATATTCAGTCATAATCGAATTTGATAGTTCTGCTGTACGATAATATTAGAACTTACTGCACACGGTTCATCTAGTGTTGTTAGGGTTGCCAATTTTTGTTAGAAAGGAGATAAAAAGAGTATAATTTATTACACACAAATAAAAAATAATATTTCCTTTTTGGTTATGCTAATAGCATCTTTATGTGCGACTGGCGCTTGTAACATTGTGCAAAAATGATAGTATTTTATTGTCCTCGATTTTTGGATTATAGAGTACGCGTATATGATAATAGAGTAGTCAACTGCACTCCAGGTTATACAAATTCTCCTCATGTGATTGAACCTTAATACATAGAAGGTAGAATGCTAACTCCATTGTGGTAACCTAGCATGCAGCCGTGTATACAATACTCTATGAGTACGGTTGGCATAGGTGTAGCTAGGAGAGGGGGCCAGGGTGGGCCGGGCCCGCCCTAGTAAGACAGGCCTATCCGCAAATACCCTCCCTCATTCATAAAATAACTTTGGCCCCACCCTTAAGAAATATTTCCTAGCTACGCCAATGACGGTTGGCAACCCTAAGTGTAGTGGCAGTAACATATCATACCGTTTGTTTTGAGCTTGATACGTTCACAGTATGGCACGGTGTAACACTGACGTTCCGTTTATTATATTTGTGTTAACGTGTGGGATGTATGGTGAGGTCAGAGTGAGGTCGTGTGAGGTGCCCGCGCGTACGCGGTGGGTATGAACCCGGAGCGCCTCGACTTGGGCGCGTGTGCCCACAGCCAGCCCTCTACAGTCTGCTGCGTGAGGTCAGCGTACACCCACTCGCCGCGCTTCACTGACAAGTCGTCCGGCGCTTGCGCCTATAGAATGCATGAGTTTTATCAATCGATTCATACTGCCCGTCGCACAAACCTCCATTAAATCTTATTTACCGTTATAAACGACATTATCGATACCAACAGCCAATTGCACAAAGGTCCATTGAAATTTGCATTAGTTTAAAGCGACAATACCCATACAAATTTGACATCCACAAGAGCTTAAATGCGTCATTTCAAGCATTAACGTTTTGCTTAGACAATTTCAATTAAAGTCAATCTACGATATTATTTATATAATATCTTAAAAAAAAGTCGCGTTGGCAATGGTATCACTTGTCAAATAGTTGTAGCGTGCAGTTCGTGAATATCTTTTAAATGTCAGATTGGAAGGGATTGCGATAGATTTATATATTAGACAATTAGGCCCAAGCTCGTGTAGCTGGGGATATTCTCACTAACTTAGAAACACTATTTTTAGTGATATATTAGAATTAAATTACTCAGATTGTCAATCTCATAATCGACTCTTCAAAATGTTGTTAATATTTCATTTCCATATACCTATTTTATTTTCATTCACAATAATAACACAGATAAAGTGTAGACAGTAGGTCATCAATGTTGTTGGCAAAATAGCGCCGTGATGAATGGCGACATTCAGTTAAAGGGCTAATCGTCCAAATGAACGGCTACTTTAACCAGTGGCTGATTATAAATCCATAACTAATTAGTTCTCGACTTACCTTGTAATCGTAAAGCATGACTAGCTCAGTTCCGTGGTACCGTCCGTCTACGTCGGACTGTGTTGTATTCACGCTAGTGTTGTTACTCAACATGTTACTGTTGAGATTTGACTGCGGTGAATGCATCTGTTGCGTGTTGTCTTGTTGTGAAGCTGCGGTTATAACATGTGATGTGATTATTATCAATTTTGGGATCCCATCCCATCTCAGAGTGCCAAGGACAAAGTGGTCTTTATTAAAGTATTTTTCACTAAAAATATTTTTCAGTATAGCCTTGTGAAAGCAAAACTAAACAAATATAATAATTGAAATTAATTTTCCTCTAACCAAAACTTTCAAATATTTCTTTCGGCTGTTGTGGGTGGATTGCCTCAACATTGATGATAATACGCTAGTAGCGAAACAGTAATGAGTGCTTGAAAAATCCGTCAGTCCTGTTAGGTCCTAGTAGCTCAGTGGTTAGAGCAGATTGCGAAAGGTCGCGGGTTCGTATCCCACCTCAGAGTACTAGGGACAAAGTGGCGTTGGGTACTGCGTATCAGCTATGACCGTTTAAATATTCCTTGGGCTATGACAAAAACTTCAAAACCAAAATCAGCTAAATCGGCCCAGCCGCTCTCTAGTTTTATCGAGACAATCGAACATCAACTGATTTTTGTATATATGTATGTATAGAAGATTATTATGAGTTCTTTTTGCAAATATAATACTTTTACTCATGTAAGGCCTTTTGATAGAATGTACCACATACACATGTCGTGCACATACACACACACACGCAAATATAAAAAATATCTATTATTACTTTATTTAATACAGTAAGATGTATATATCAAGCGATAATCGCAATCGGTGGCAGAGGGTACATAAATAACATTAACTGCATAGTGTTCCATATGATATGGTTACTGACACAAGACTAATTACAATTTTTTTATTTATTTATTTATTAAACTTTATTGACCAGTAAGAAAAAAAGGTACAAAAGGCGGACTTAATGCTAATGGCATTCTCTCCCAGTCAACCTTTAGGAAAAACGATAAACGCGATGGCGGCATAAAGTTAATTAACTATGCGTAGACATGTTTAGAAACATTTTTTATTGTACATTCACATTTTGCTCTACGCAGAAAATTCACTAAGCGCAAAATTTGACGGATTTTTACCTTGTACAACAGCAGGATATACAAATCCTGAAGGAATGAAACCTTCTTGGCCATCGCTTCTCACTATCCAATACCAGTCTGGATCTTCTCTATTTAGTACTGTAAAAATATGAGAATAATATAGAGAACAAAATCAAAGATCATAGACCGGTTTCTGAATTGACAAAAGTACAAAATCTGTACTGATTATTCTCAATAACTTAAGTTTGTTACTTTTCACAAGGCTTTCACTTTTCACTTTGCTATCTTTTGATCATTAAAAAACTAAAATCAGAAACAAAACACTGTTTAAGTATAGTATGAGATTTGCTTAACTTAAAATATTTCAATTCAGAAACCGGTTGTAAGTGTATGAGTGTGTATTGATACATAGCTGCAAATATCAGTTTTCCTGGGCAGTACAAATTTTGATTTGATCAATTTCTGTGGCTAATTGTGATTATGATTGGTTGATAATAAGTTATTGATTAATTAAAACAACTACGGTTTGTTGACCTTATTTCTATTAATCAGCTAGTCAGACCTAGAAGCCGTGGCGACTGCAAAAAAGCATGCGACTCTGGTAGCATATGTAGAGATATTGGGTAGACTTAATATCATACTACCATAACAATGCTTCATATATGGTACATTTTCTTAGCAATGGATGTATACAAAATCCATGTTTATGTTTTCCTTTTTTTAAGGATATATAGTTTCCTCGACACCTAGACACACGTGAGCGACCAGTTGCGCATATGTAAACATGTCCCAAAACGTCCATTTTATTATCATGATGGAAATAGGACATTTCGGGAAATGGACATTTTGAGAATTGGACATTCTGAACTGAAAGAGTGAACACTGTCATAGATTACAAACTGCCAGTGACAGCGATTGACGGCAACTAGTGAATTAAGTGGAAATAAATTCTTATGAATATTAACACATGAAAGAGTGATGTCTATATTTTATACAATTCTACTAAAACAAATTGAATTCCAATCTAACCTGTGACAAACTCTCCTCTTTCGACATCAACATCGTTCTCGTCTCTTGCAGTAAATGTGTAGAGAACTACATATCTCCCAGATGGGTCCTTGCTGAAAGGACATGCTTCTCCTTCACTGCCGAGTTCTGAGTGTCCATCATTTGTTGCACCATCTGATACTGACAATCTGATAAAAAAAATATTTATGACTTTGTGAAGATATCACATAATATTATTGTATTTATACATCTGTGTAATGAATTTGGTGATCATGGATGTTTATTCTATTTTTATTACACAGAAAAAATACCTGTATACATAGTACTGGTAGTGTAATAAGTAATAACTCTTATTATATTGACTATTGTAATGAAAGTTTATATTTTAGTTAAACATTTTTTTATGATTCTAATATGTTCACAGTACACTAGTTTATTAAAAGGAATTTAAATTAATTTAAGGCAGTACATAAAAAAAAATTAAGTTACCTATTTCATAAAAAAATATCTACATAAAAAAAATTATCTCACTGTGAAACATCTCTATGTGCCATATCTGTTGGAGATCTACTCCGAGGCAATTTCTTCTTCAAATCATGGTGTTCGCAGGGTGCACAATATGAATGAGGAATGAATCCTTCTCTCCTAGATTCTGCTACAATAACATACACCCAATCATTTTCTCTATATAAGACATTCACAATCTGTCCTCGTTTTACCTGAAAGATTTGAAAATATTAATTTATTACTTTATATTTTAAATCCTGTGCCAAATTTACAAGGTTGTTAATGAGCATGTGAGAAAGTCAAAATTTGATCTACTAATATTTATAGCAACTGTTTTTATGACATACAAAACTAAGTGGCACTATTAAACAATTTGGGGCTAAGTTTTATTATATGTTGGAATTAGAAGTGTGAGGATTCTCCTGCTAACATGTGTGTCTCTGAATAGTTTACTTAAATTAGAGGTCTATTTTGCTCATTTTACTACCTTCATGCCACTGACAAAATGGTCTTTTAAAAGATAATGATCATACCTCTAATTCATCATCAACGCAAGGTGCAAAGTCATGTAGCACCACCATTTTAGAATCAGGACTGAGTCCATGTTCTTTTTCAATGCCAACTCTAACAAGGGTCTCTATACTGGCTGATCCTGTGATTCTACCCATACCAGGGCTCAACCCTGAACTTGGTCTCGATAAATCTTTATCAGAATCACCACTACTTGCTGAAAATTTTGACACTTAAACATATTTATAATAAATTGTTCATACAAAATAATTTATCAAAATGTTTCATATATGATAATGTAAATATCATTTTAATAAATTAAATTACAAACTGGCAAGTTTATTCAGATTAATAATAACCTAAATCTATGATAGTACTTAATGTATACTTAAATTATAAATTAATAATGATTATATTTTATTTTACAGTGCCATATACAGGTGTATGTATATATATATATTTAATAAGAAAGAACTTATTCATTATTAATTAGACACCAATAGGACAGGCTGTGTTGTTTATTATTTTAAAGGTAATTTTATTTTTTAAATAACTTTACTGTATTTAAATTTATAATAATTGTTATACTTAAATTTTCGTAAAAACCAATAACAAAATTTCAAGTAATTCCTGAACAAGGTTACATTTATGTAGACGACGTGAATATGTACTTAACGTGTATGATAACTATTCAATATCACCGCGATCATCGTTTTGTGGAAGTTGTTTGTCAAGATTAAATTCATATTTATAATTATAAGAGAGATGAGGTCAATGACTCAAATGTTTAAATGAAAGCTCATTTAAAACTTACATTTCTTCTTCTTCCCCCTTCTTATTCTGACTGGACACAGAAAAGCCATTTTTCTAACTACTTATTTATTTTTTATGCATTCTTGTGACAATTACAAATAAGGAAGATATATTTACTCTGTTTAAGTAATTTTTGATCGAACCTAAACGATTTTCACACGGTTTCTTTCTTTCTGCTTGTCAAAAGTTCACAAAACAAGTTTTTGACGTTGTTGCGTTCTGTTTTACGTTATGTTATGTTTCGTTATCGCATCATTTAACTAGAACATAAAAGATTGTATACTTTTGACTTCATAAAATTAGATGCAAATTTAAAATTTTCGTGATATTATAAATTTGTTTAAAAAATCAACTCAATATTTTTGTGCTACATATATACTTAAAGAGAAACAAAATTACTAGGGAGGTATGGCGCGTCCGCTCAGCAGCGAACGAACAGTTAACCATCGAAACGAAAGAGATTCGGCTTTTGCTGCAAAACTACATAAGGCTATCGCTGCCACACGAAATACTTACCCTAAGGACGATGTTCTGTTGTTCGCAAAAACCTAGCAAATTAGATGGAAGTTTGAAGTTATGAAGTCAGACACATGAAACGTTATTTTTATTCCACTAATAAAAAATTAGTAAGTTTTATGGAAATTCTACCATGCCATCAAAGGAGTAAATTAAATGAGTTGAAAGTTGAATAAAACGTGAACTTTATTTTTGGACTATTGTTTACGAATCTGTATACCTATTTTCGCGATTGTGGAAATTGTATTCTGTGGAATGGGTGATTCGGGAAAGACCTAGACGTTGGACGGTCACGGGGGCTACTCGCAGCCTTCCGGTCCATCCCAGCCCCACCTGTTGGTTCACAGGAGTAAAGGATGTGCTTATACACAAATCTCTTCTCCTTGCCGACCGCAAGGGTGAAGAACACTCCCCGGGCCTCCCACCTGGACCTCCTAGGACAATCCCTATGGCTGTCTCCTTGGTCTTCCCTCGCAGTGCTTTACTGCCCACGGCTTACAAGGCCCGTTGCCCTCCGGTGCTGCCAAGGTAGTTTACGGAAAGCGTAGTCCCACCTGGCAGCGTAAGTCTCACCAGGCGGCGTAGTCTCACCTGCCAGAAGGCCCTTTCGTTACAGATGCTTACATAAATAAATATTAGACAACCTAACATATACTGGTCTCGCATTAAGTAGTCAAAGCAAAATCTAAACATTTAAAGTACCACAAAATCTAAACCTAAGATTATACAGAAAAGTTCATTTTCTACATTGACCCGAACAAGAGTGGATCCCGGAAGTTCAGAGATGGTGATAGCCTGGAATCGGCTGCGAGCCACTCTGTCATGGAGGTCGTCGCTTAACCTTCGTCGTGAACGATTGCTTTTCAACCCCTCAATACGAGGTCGTCGCTTTATCCTCGCCATGTACAATTTATATTATTTCAATCTTCCATTAGCTTTTTACTCACGTGGATTATTAAAAAGCTTTCTTAGTGAACCTCTTCGTCATAACAACTATAAGTGATAAATTTTCATTGCTTTAAAAATAGCAGACTTCCACACAAACTTACAACCCCCATTTCGTCCATGCGAGAGTTGAAGGATCAAGCTCTTGTATTCCCAGCTCAGCAGGCATCTTAACAGTCTGGATTACTCGGTCGATGTGTATAATATTATTTGGGATTGAAGACTTGTGATGGGATCTGCTGACTGTCCCGATCTTCTTTTTAAATTAAACTTTAATATTCCATGTCCTTTGCCGAGATCTGGCAGTAACAAATTTTTCCATCGACCTAAGAGTCGTACAAATCTAAAGTTGCAATGTCCTTTATCGCGAGCAACTGCATTTTATAAGGAATACCAAAATAATATCGACCTTGTTTTGACTACCATGCCTGTCATTAAGAAACTATTCATACACTAGAATTGTAACGTGTACTATATATTTTTTTTATTATTTTTAAGTTAAAACTGTAGCCGGTATAAACGCGTTCTCCCATATGGACTTTTTGGTCGCTCGACTGTGACGCGCGTGCTTGTCTCTCATAGCAATACCAGGGATACTGTGCTGTAAGCGTACTGCTGTAGCTCGCCTGGAGCGCCTATGTGTGAGAAAAGTGTGTATTGATCTATCAATGCAAGCCACAGATGCAAGCGGTGCCCTTCTATAAGTAATGGGACACTTAATACATAATCTTGTCATTATGTAATTTTTAACTGTAATAAATTAATAATTTTTAGTGTACTCATTGTTGTGAGAGCCTGACAAATAAACAAATAAATATATACGTAACATGTTTCGTAAACGCTTGGTGGATGCTACAGATAACCAAACCGTTTCAAGTTCTTTTCTTTTTAACAGACCTGCAGAGAAGAGGTTGTTAATTTGACCTTTATGTATTTAGTTACATTGGTAAGCTCATAGGCATATTGATTTGTGTAACACTTACGTTTACCTTAGTAAATTATAGTTATATTGTCGGTGAGCCAATAGGTAAATATGTACTAAAATAAACAAACAATACTATATAAAAAGAACACTTTATTTCAGTAACGTAAAACTTACTTTAGGTACATAAAGGCAGCCATACTAACAGATAAGTCAGCCACTTTGATTCCTAGACTACTATAGAACCGCTTTAATTACCAGATAATTTTATATTGGTAATGATGATTGGTTTTATCGCATGTATTTTTGAAAAACGTATTAATTTCTCAGTCGTTTCGGTCATTACTCATTATTACACAGGTTACGTGCTAACTAAGTTTTTTTTTTTTCATAAATACACCCGATACAATCGCTTCAAACTACTTTTATTTAATCTGTTGTGTACATATTCTCCATCGTAAGAGGTAATCACTAAATTTTAAGGCTATGATCATAAAACTATATTAAAGGTTAAAATTAAGCGTCAGTTACATTTGGTCTGCGCCGCGTGGAATGTTCGGATAGGTAAGTACTAAGTTTTCATTTCATCTCCTCGATGCTCCAACTATACTACCGCTCGTGTTTTAAGAGAAGGCAAAGAAATTGGACAATGACAAAAAAGAAATTGTTTAGGCTTCTACACCTATTCTTTTCCGCGAAATACGCGTTTTTTTGTACGCGACGCTATAGATCGCTGATTCCACCGCACAAAACAATAGGCAGTATTCCGCGAAAATGATACATAGTTCTATTGAAAGCGACACGTATTGTTGTCTTTCAACGCTCATTTGAGTTATTGTCATAGTGTCCGTTTTTTCACCTGCCCAAAGAACAGTCTATGAATATGAAAGAAATCCGTGTGGGTTGGAACGGAGAGGGTTATTATGTGACTGTCGCTTTACGCTTTTCAACAAGTTCTTAAAATTACACGAAGGTTCTATAGGGACCTACGAGTCAAATTGGTTGACTGTACATACAAACTTTTCTCCTCTTTGGCACATTTTAAACATTTCATAAACTATATTATGTTTTTTAGTAATACTTAATACATTTTACAACACGTACTTATAACATTTTTTTTTTGTTCTTTATTAGGTTAATAGAAAAATATAATAATAGGCGTTTATATAATATATAATAATATAGGTCTTTAATTAAAAATGTGAAATATTTTCTAGTATTTCAGAGACTGCGTTACATTTTACAGTTCCTGTTTTGTATTTAAATAATAGTTGAGGGCGGATCCACTGTTATATGGCCAGGAGTACAACCCTAATAGAGTTGTGACGTCGCATTTTCAAGGTTTACTGAGATTTATCGCCCAAGTGGAACTATAGAGTGTACAAAATCTTGATCAAGGCATCATATGTTTTGGTAGGCATGTATTATTTTGAGCAGGAGTTTAAACGCTTGTGTATGAACACAGACTCGCACTTGACCTTTCGGATGGCTGTTACTGCAACCTTTTTTGAGATTTGGGCCACATCAGATAAGAAAATATATTGAAATTCCAGATAATTACATATTATATATATATAAGATATTGATTTTTGGTTTATTTAAATCAATATTTATGACATTTATATAACTTAAACATTCTTAGTTTTCATTTAAAGTTGATAAAAGATACTTTTCGGATACATTATTTTTCTTCACTTAATTATCACAGTAGTTCCTTTCTTGGTTAATTTTTATATAAGATATATTTTCACTATATTTTCTGTTGTGATGATCTTTTCATAAGTTTACTTTCATAAGAAACATAGGTATTCTCGTTATGAAATCTTTTAGCACCATACTTCCATAAAAGCTCTTCTCAGTGGAATGTAGTTTTATAACCAAGCCTAACATATAAAGGTTTATTTAAATTTTTCTTACAAAATACATTGTTACCTTTGTATTACTATAAAAAGAAATCAAACACCGATTCATATTATCTCTTACATATTTAAAAAAGTCATTTGAAACATGAACGTCTATATATATATTGTATATTTATAATAAAAGTAGTTGATATACATTTTCTTATATTCGAAGTAAAATTTTAGTACGATAATACAAAATCCAGTCGCTCAAATCTGCAGGTTCTATGATTTTGATAAAGCCTTTTTTATGAGAAATAATATAGTTATAATATGGTTAGCATATTATAACTATATTGTTTAAATTACTTCATTAAGTATTATTTTTATTAAATAATTACCTTGTGTGTTCATAAGTTTCGAGACCAACTTTTTACTGAAAAAATAAAATATAATGTTACTGGCTGTTATTTATTTTTTACCGATTTTGAATTTGGAATGTTAACTTTTAGTTTATTTGTACCAAAAATTTAAAAAAACCGATGCAGATTTTCCGCGAGCTGAAAAGTTTTCCTGTAAACCGTAAGTTCGTTTATTACACAATCCAGCGGTACAAAGAGACAAGTTCTTTGCACTATCGCCAAAAGAGTGGTCGGCCACACTCTGTGAGGACGCCTGCGAACATCAAAATCACCCGAGAGCTACTTCGCCGAAATCCATGTGTCATTCAGAAGAGACTATTATTTCGCGCATTTCAGTTAACAGAATACTGAAATATGATCTTAAGGTAAAGACCCATAGCCCTAGAAAAGTTCACTTTTTAAACGATCTTCTTTGTAAGTTACGACGCGAAAGTTGTCCATTGCTGCTGAGGTGACATGATGCCAGGAAGATACTCTTCAGCGACGAGAAATATTTTCACTTCGAAAAGTGAAATTAGTATTTAAAGTTAAGCTCGTTTCAAATTGTAATTAGCAGGTTTTTGTTTCGATTTTAGTTTGATAAAAACTAATATTTTTTGCCTTGTGAATAGTAAAAAAGTTATTAAGAACAATAAGTTAAGGTTTTTTTCTCAATTTAGAAACCGACCGTATGTCACCCGCGTAATGAAAGAAGTATATGTGAAAGATTGTTTCACATACCGATGCCGAATACATTCGGTTCATTTATTTTAAATTTAGATTTATGATAAACTTTTTGTATATCAAAGGAAATCTATGAACACAGTTTTTATTTTATTTAAATAAAATTAAATAAACCTTAACAATATTTAAATTTATTAACATTTTTTTAACCTCAACCAAATCCACTTTTATCAATACTTATTTTTAAACCTGTTTAAGCAGCAGCACAATAAAATGGTACCTAAATCGAATACAATCCGGTTCGGTAAGGTTTAAATCGAATGGTATTGGATTATTCGGTGAAACCACTATTCAGTGCATATCTATAGTTTATATCATCTCATCACGGAATACTTGAGTCTGGCCATAGATAAAAAAAATACCCTTTCTTTTTATATTGTAGTAGATAGTGTAACTTTTTTTATTAAAATCCATAAATATGTTTTTGAGTGTGAAGCATATAAGTATCCTACTTACGATCGCAGCCCAAAAGCTTAAAAAAATATAAGAAACTTAAGAGAGAAAAAATATTAAAAGCTATTGTAGGAAGAGATATTGGTAACCAGCTCTCAGTCAATCCGTAATTTACTCCTGGTAACAGTTGTAGCAAAACAGATATTGAGCCTGTAGATTTAAGCGGCCTGTTCTTACATTATTAGACAACATGTCAAACATTTAATAATAGTTACAAATGTTGTGTGTCGGTTAATGAGTACCATTGTTCGTGGCGATGATCAGGGAACTTGATGCAGTCCATCCAATGTTTTAATCTTCTCCCTTTACTGCTCGCTCCTAGGACTAAACTGCCAAGGAAATCATTGGGCTTCCCATAGTCCTTATCCCAAACAGTTAAAGTCAAGTTTTGCCTGGACAGTTCAGTGGGACGAGTCTCAAAATTAAACTCTTCGTTCCAGACTGGGTTGAGATTGCGCCATTTTATTGAGGTTTTGTGCTTTTTGTGATATGGGTCCGGATCAAGGTGCCTGTCGAAAAAATAATGCTCTTAAATGGATTTAATTACTGATTTCATAACGAAGAGAAAATGGTAATGATTAAGGTTCTATGTAAATCCAATGGAAGATTCGTCAAGCGTTTCACGGAAGTATGTATTACTAGTGGACGCCCGCGACTTCGTCCGCGTGGAAGTCGGTATCCCGTGGGAGTGAGAAGTTTTCCCAGTAAAAAGTACCCTATGTGTTATTCTGATGTATAACCTATATTGCTGTAAAGTTTTATCCAAATCCGTCCAGTAGTTTTTTCGTGAAAGAGTAACAAACATCCATACATCCATACTTACAAACTTTCGCCTTTATAATATTAATAGGATTATGCGACGGATCATCTATTGAGTGTTCAAGATTGAATGTCTATCATATATTTGTTAGATCAGCAGAGCGACCGCCAAACTCCTCTAGCTATAACTCTAGACATAGGATATCCCGTGTCCAACCCTTGCGACAGTTGCTTAACAACAACGATCGCGGGCCGCAGCGCTTACCCACTACGCCGATGACCTACTTTTTATATTAGATTTATTTAGATTAAAACCGAACCTAATAATACAATACGGCACTCTCCTTTTATTGCACGTATGGGATGGTTAAAATAATAATATACAATATATGTACTTACAATTTTACAAAAGGATCTGAATATCCATTGCTGTCTTGAGGTGGTAGATCAGCAGCTCTACAGACTATAACTACAAGAGCCCTTTTCTTGGTATTATAGCAGAGGGCCAACAGGATCCTTGGACCAATTGGTTCTGATCCCGATGATCCTGATAGAGCCAGTCGCAGTTGGGCAGGTGATTTGGCACATTCTCTGAGCGCCACTGTAGCTGAGCCCATTTCATCACTTCCATACCTATAAACAATCAATTTTAACTTCTGATAAAGATATTTTTTTTTTTCATTTCATTATTAAGAAGGTATTTATAAACATAGTACACAAGATAACTCTCCTGTTCACGTCAATCCAATGCAAATTTTAGTTCAACATGGAGTGAACGCTTGTCTCTATTTTTTTACTAACTGTTAACCCGCAACTTGGGCCGTGTAAATTATAACCTATTTCACTCACGTATGTTGTAGCTTCCCGTGGGCGAAAGGAGACCAGTAGTTTCGAAGTTTAGTCAATAAAAATAAATAAGCAATCAAATATTTTAAGCTTTATAATATTTAGGATCTTCAATGCGATATGTCAGTCGAAAGGGCGCTTTATTTTTCAGAATTTAACTACATGTATGATTTACTATTTGCATCCATAAATACACGTGACTTTAGATTTGGGGGGCGGGGCTTAGTTTTGAAAAGATATCGTCAGAGGGGAGGTAGGATTGCCATATGGCCAGCAATTTCCTAACATTTCAGACGGTGTCCAGAGACTCAAACAAAAAGGAAATGTCCCGACTAAAGAAAAATCATTATATCATGAAATCATTAATCAATCGATCTCTAAGCGTCTGTTTTTTTGCATATTAATAGTTTTAGGGATGTTGAAAAATCGACTGAATACTGAGTTTTTGATTGACCAGATATTCTAGTCTTCGTATCCGGAATCCAGCAGGCCCCCTTGCCAGTTTATATAATCTTTATCTACGAAAACTACTGATCACCTTGGAATGTTAAAGTATCGTAATGCGTTCGTCATGAAGCTTGCATGCTTTTACCAAATGTCGATGGCATATGTATGACGTCGTGTTTACAAGTATAGTGGCTTTTTATCTACATATGTTGTTTCATATCTCTGTATCATATCAGTTAATCTCTTACAAATTGTGACGAAAAAAAAAATAAAAAGCTGTAATTACTATTTTACCTCGTTAGAGCAAATAATTTTTTTTTTGTCCTAAATTCTAAGATTTTTATTGCACGATTGTAATAAAAATTATAACACAAAGATGAAAAAATATTTTTTAAAACTACACAGGTGGTTAACAAATACCATAAACTTATTTGAATTTTAACCGTTCGACTTCAAATTAGGTTTATTGAATTTATTTACCTCTTTTGTAGTTTTGAAAAGGTTATTTTTTGTTTTTGTCTTTTAAAAAATAATGTTTTTATCTAAGTGACAATCACAATATTAAGGTGTTTGAGACGATGTAGTTCTTCTAGTTTTTTCATCCTATTTATCTTATACGATAAAATAACGCCCTCGAGAATGTACCCTTTCAAATAAAAAAAAAAGAATCATCAGTTCGGTCCATCATACAAAAAAATCTTTTAGACAAATTAAGAACTTCCTGCTATTGAAGTCGTTTAGAAAGGATTTAAATTATTATCGTTCTACGTACTTGTCATCGTCAAATAAGACAATTTCTAAGGACTTTACGGTGAGATCAGATTCGGTGATACCGAAGAACAGAAGTGTCTCGTTGAACTCTGGATTTTTCGTTTTATGAACTGTCTTCGTCCGTAGCCGATTGGAATAGGTGCCCTCTGAAAAAATTGTAACATTTAAGAAAATCAATTTTATTTTTCTTGTTACATACGGTAGCCTTCACAAATTTAAAGTAAATTGCTGTATAAACTGTGTTATATTTTTATAATTTAAATTAGCGATAAGGTTTTGCGTAGTTCATAAACCTTCTTCAAGAAATTTTCTATCCAAAGTGTAAGATGAGTTTTATGGTATGAAGTAACAGTACTCACACAACTAATGAAAGAGATGATTACGTTCAGTTATAATTTGTAGCAATAAGATAAGGAATTTTAATTAATTGAAATACCGTGTGCCTATTCACTTTAATGTCATCTTTTCAGGTTTAAGACTTGTAAAAAAATATGATTATACATATATAACATAAAATTGACTTACCGCGTGGCAGCACCTCTAATCTACAAAAAGGGTCGGAAAGACCTGTCATATCCATTCCAATGAGACCTCTAGCTCTTAAAACAGTAACTGCTAGAGAGGAGGTCGCATTATCATATGCTAGTTTAATTTCCAAAGTGCCAAAACCAGCGTCAGGTATTGTTGGTGCTCTTTCGATTTGATTACACGGTTTGGCCATGTCTTTTCTAATGCTGCGTAAGCTGTAAGCGCTGCCTTTGCTGCCCGTCCGCTTGAGGCCCGCTAATGGTCGTTGATTTAAGCTGTCGGTTCTATGAAGACTGAGGCCGCTGAAGCCATGCGAGAGGATATCCGTCTCTGACCACTCGTAGTGAGTATCCTGTTGAAAACCAATGAAAACTATAAATATTCATCACCATCATCATTAATCTCTTAATTGCCCTATTGCTGGAGCTCAGGCAATCCCTTTGGATGGAATCGACTCAAATCGAATAGGGAGAATGGGCCATGTTTTCAATTTTGCGGTTTTTAAAATTATAACGTAATTTAATGGGTAATTGTTAATCTGACGAAATAATAAAATGCTACAATTAGCTGTTTTCGTTAGATGATGTTACTGTGTTTTTAAAACTGGTGTGTTTGACTAAGGACTGTATGTAACAAAAATTATATATTTGTAATTTTGACACGAGATTTTCTAATAAATTACATTTGGGATTTATTAGAACCGACTACTTTGAGAGAAACTCATAAGTGATGTCAATAAAGATATTTCATAATATTATACTGGGTGAACTAAAATTGTTACCACAAAAATTATATAAATCACGTTTGAAAACATGGTTGTTTGCAGAATAATTAGCCAAAAAAACAAGGCTAAATGGGAGTCAACTCGTGCACGAAGGGAAGCCCCCTTAAATATTCGATACAGCCGTATGGTGGTAACAGCAAAAAATCACGTTTGTTGTATGGGAGACCCTTAAATATTTATTTTATTCTATTGCTGTTGAAGCTGTTGAAGAAGTGATGTACTTCTGTTGCCGTTGTCTTATGACAAATTGAATTCAAAACAATGGTTACTATGTTAATGATTTATTGCCCTATACGAACTTCCACTCCTATTTTCATCCTTTTATGTGCTTTTTTGGGATAAAGATATAAAATAGATGTGGGTATTTGTGAATATGAGAAAATCATTTATGTTAAAAAAGCAGTTTGAACTTGGTGTCCGGGTTTGATTCACGTCTCCATCCCTTCGTCATATATAAAAATGACATATGGTTCTGCGGATTTTTTATTAGAAATTTTAAAGAAGATAAATTTCGTAATACATGATTTTTGCGTAAATTCCACCGTTTACGCAACGCACGCATGGAAAGCTCCCGTTAAATAAAGTAAATTAATCTCCCGTTTTTTTCATTGCTGCTACACACCTATATACTCCACTCCTATATATGTATATAAGCGTAAGTTAATAACCAGTAACGGTGCGTCGTACCACCGACCGTTTATTTCGTCTTAGGTTTCCGCATGCAAACTTATTGTCTTTGATTTTCAACGTCATTCCTTTTTTTATTCACCTTTCGTAGTACTCGAAATTTCGAGTAATCCAATATGATCTTCATGAATGTCAGTTCGTAAAAAATTTCATCTGTTGTGATAATCTAATCATATAAATTTTAATATATAAATCTAAAAATAATAAAGTTATTATAATTTAAATAAGAAAAATGTAAATCTAAAAGTATATCTTCGTGAAATATCTACTAAGTTTTATCTATTACGGAAAACACAGAAACGGGTTTTCTTCTTATTACCCTCTAATAAATAAAATTTTCAAGCTCAGTCAGCCTTTTATTCATTTGCCTAAGCATCGAACCCGTCACAAGCTTTAAGCCTTCTTCGATAAGTGGACTATTCAACACAAAAGATTTCCTGAGATTTTAGCGTTCAATCAAACAAAGAAACTCTTTAGCTTTATTTAATAATAAATTTATTTATACTCTATACTTATGTATTATGTATAGAGTATAAATATAGATAATATTATTAATACTAGTACTTAATAGAGTCTATTGGAGCACTTTGTTTTTAGATACTCTTGACGTATCACTTGAACGTAATTGTTGATTGAATTATTGTCGTGACGACTTTTATGATAACATTTTATGGTTGATTGGTCGGTTGATTGAGTCTTTATTAGATAGAGGCAGGACATTGTTGATTGTAATATCTACCACAGGGTCTTTGAATTCAATTTGAAGAAGATTCTCTTTTAAAAAAATAATAACTAATCATAATCATCACCCATCCCGAGACCTGCCTTTGCGAAAGTTAAAAGAAAAGAAAATGTACTTAAGGCGGGTGGCCTTAAGCTGCAACTTATTTTCACAAATTAGGTAATATGAATAAAAAAAACATGAACAAGATAAATAAAATTATGCAATAACAGAATTAACACCATGAAATAAAACCTTTATTACCTTTAGAAGTAGGTTTTATTCAATTGAACCTCTATGACGAGTAAGCGCTGCGTTCATCGACGAATTCGAGGGTGCTATTTTAAAAGAATTACAATTTTTCTAATTGTAATTCTTTATAACGTCATAAAAAGTCCTTGGTGAGCGCTAGCCTCAATTAACCCTGAATCAACAGTTAATAATTAAAGAGTGTGCAATCTTTTTAACCAACTTAAAAAAGAAGCAGGTTTCCAATTTAGCTCAATACTATTATTTCTATTTCATTGTCAGTAATATATTTCAAAGTGCTTAACGAATATGATGAATTGTTTTTTTATTTGTTAGATTTCCGTAAGCAAAAAGATTATAATTTAGTATTAATAAAAAAAGGTTTCATTGCTTGTTTGCATTGCAAAGGCTCCGCTACTGGACTGATTTAAATTTTTTAAATTTTAATGAAGAATTCACCTATGGAAAGCTACATCATACGCGTGTATGTTATAATGTTATGTTATAATTTACGCGGATGAAGTCCCGGGAAAACAGTTTGCAATAAGTTTAAATAAGTATCCCAACTTACGACGCCATAAGAACACCGAGCTTTTTATTCTGGATGATCATAGTACATTTTTGTTCAAGAATTAAATCTTGTTCAATTATCGGAAAATTTTGACTGGATTATCCTTAAAGCATCGGAGCAAGCAGAATATAATTTGGTGAGTAAAATTCAGATATAAATAATTCAAAAAATGGTCAAAGACTTCATTAGCAAGTCAAAGAGGCAAGGCTAGAGTATTCTTTAGTACATTTGATGATTTTATTTCATCTTTAATAATTACTTTGGACAAAAATGAACATTGAGAGCTGTATTTTTTAATGCTCATAGTAATCCTCAAAGTTATCTTATCGGAATATTTCCAATAAGGATATTTTGAAAATAAAATAAAGAATGGAAATAATTGGCAGAACTGGTAATGAGATTTATGGTTGCGTTCAGCCTACTGGCTCATAATCTTTTGCAAAGTCTAATCATCTAAGAATGTGAAATAGATATATTCGAATTACTTTGTTATTATTATATTTGATCAATTTTGTTTTCACAATATTATACTGGAAAATATTATTAATGAAAAATGCTTAAAAAATCCACTTTGTCCCTGGGACATGAGATTCGAACCCACCATATTTCGCAATCCGGGTGACTGCTCTAACTACTAAGCTATCCAAGTCCTAATAGGACTGATGAATCTATCAAGCACTTTTTACTTTTTCGCTACTACAGAGCGTATTTTCATCAATGTTAAGGCAATTGGTGGTGAATCCGAAAGGAGGATTTTCAATAGAATTAATTCAACTTTTTACTAATACCATATGGATACAGAAATCTGAAATAAATTATTATTATTATAAAGAGAATAAACCTAATTTTCTTCCCGGTACCTCGAAGAATCGATCGAGGGGAGACCATTCGTCGAGACTCGTCACGTATTCGTAACCTCATGCGCTAGGTTCAGATATTTCATTTTTTTGCCTTTCATGGGATTTTTAGCGAAAAGGATAATGACGTCCACTATGAACACATATGATTCCTCACGGTCCATCAGTACAATGTCAGGCTTGTTGGAACAGGCTTGCAGGAACTGTTCTGTCTGTAATGATGGACCGGTCCCAGTACAGTTGAACACGGTTGTTTTCCACCACCACTTTTTTTGAAAAAAAAAAAATTATGACACATTGGAATTGTTCACTTTTGAATTAGTGAATAGGCCTGCTGATTATGAAAATTCTTTCATCTACGACTTTGGGAAAGCTATATATCATACGCGGATGACAAAGGCAATAATTTACACGAAGTCGGAGGAAAAAAGCTAGTTAAAAATAAAATAGTTTGAATAATAATATCCTACTGTTACTTGTGTCTGATCTGTGTCTGTGCTATCTGTTCTATTGGGTAGTGACGCACGACTGACGTCTTCAAGCGACATTAATTGTATCGAGGACACGGAACGTTACCCCTTAAAAATCTTAATAGATATAAGCGTCAGAACCCCTGAGGGTTTAAGTGGGCTTACTGTTTTTGTCTAGAAATGAACATTCGGAAAAGTTCAAATTAACAAATCAATGAAGATTATCTATGCATAAGTTTTAGTTTTAGTTCCTACCGCCGTTGCATCATAATAAGTATTTCAAAAATAGGCGCAATTTCGTTTTCGGGGAAACGGAGTAGGTCTAATAGGACCAATAGAAATATTTGAAGTTTAAAAAATACCAATATGCAAACATTTTGCTACCTACTTTCAAATTTTTGGTATCTTGTTTGATAGCCGAATAACGTATACTAAACAAAGTGGTCAGATACTCTGATATCAGGAAGTCTGTATAGTATTTGCTTTCAAAGTTCGGGGCTATATAGCTTATGTTTTGAGTGTATCTTTGACAATCAAAAAAAAATTTTTAACAATAGAATCAAAACTACTGTCAACCCAAAAATTTAAGAAAAAATATACAGCTCATTTTTCCGATCAAGAATATGTACTAAGTCAGTTTGCCTAGACTAAAGGTGATGCGACTTTTCGCTAGCTAAGAAACTACCAACTGGTATATTTAAAACGTAATTGTAAACCTTCAAGATTCATTTTCGTGGAAATTATCACCAGTAGAGCAATAAATTTAAAGTAAACAAAAACAAACCGGCGCAAGGCACAGTTTTAATTAGAATGTTGTTTATATGCATTCATAACAACTCGCCCTTCGCTTTGAAGTAACGTTGTTTCTTTTTTATCTGTGAAATGATAATTTAGCGACTTGAAAGCTCGTTATATTAATTTAATTTTCATCACCATCATAATCAATATTAATCAAATAGGGAGAATGGGCCATAACCCACCCAGTGGATTGGTAGAAGCAGCGGGGCACAAAA